GCTGCCACCTGGGGTCTCTCTCAGAAGGGTGCTAATCTCACTCTGGAGGGCTCCACCCTCATGACCCACTTATCTCCCCAAGACCAGCACATCGGGGATTATGTGCCAATGTGCGAATTTGGGGAACACACACATGGTCTGCAGCACAAACCCATAAAAAAGCTGAATTATAGAATCTCTGAGCTGGGAGTATGATGTACTGGAAATAATAGCAGGTGGGCAACCAGAAGGCATCCACACAGATACTTCAAGGAAGTTGTGCATGTCTTTGTGTCTTGGTCTCTTCATCTGTGCTCTGGGGATCATTTCTACTTCATAGCAAAATAAGGGCCAAATGAGAAAATGTGAAAAGCTTTCTAAGCCTTAAAGTATGATATGAATTTTGGTTATTATCCTCAGTGGGTTCCCCAGAGAGCGCCGAGCTAGTCTTCCAGATTTTTCAGATTTGGAGTCTGAGACCTCAAGCAGTCAAGAGACTTGCCTCAGGCCTGTCAGTTGGTCAGGACACAACCCTTGGCTCCCTCAGTGGTCAGGGAGATGATCAGACGCCGGGGGATACACACAGAGCAGTCCTTTTGTGCTGAAGACTCTAGATTTCTGCAGGAAAAGTGACTCTTACTAAGGCCCCATTCTCATTGAGCTCAGGTGTGTGTGGATCGTGGGAAACCACTAGGATCGTACGATGCTGTCACCCTGACTAGATGGGCTTTTTCATTCATCCTCTTGCCTGAGCTCGGAAAGGGAGGGGTGACCAGTCTCTCTGCTCACACAACTACTCTCTGTGATGCCGGAAGTGGCTGTGATGTCCTCTCCTCCACCCACCATGCAGCCTTGACTGTGCAACTCTATCCTCTCCTGTCCATCAGCAAAAGACTGCATGGCACTGGGACAGAATCAGGAACTCGTAGGGCCTTGTGCAGCCTTCCCCTTGCTTCTCTTCAGAAGGGGTCTGACCAAGTCTGGATGACAAGGGGCTCCTTTCTTTGGCCACCCGTTTCTGAGCCTCAAAAAACAAATATGTCACAAGTGGCCATGCTAACTGGGGGTATCCAAGGCCCGACAAGGACAGGGTCCTTCCTAAGCCCAGGGAAGCCACTGGTCGGTGTGACTTGGAGACTCAGCTTGTAGAAGAGAAGTCAGTTACAGACACTCAGAGGCTTGCAAAATGTAGTGCAGGTAAGCGTGACATCCAAGATCACCTACAGAAGTTGGCCATACCAGAAGGTACGGCCTTCTCCAAATATTCCCCTCCCTTTTTCTACTCCTGGGGCACATCCACTGTCCTTGACTTTACAGGACACAAATCTACCCCAATGTGACCTCTGTGTTTTTGTATATTTTTCCAGTACAGAAAATAAGGGAGGCTATAATGAAAGGTCTACTTAAAATAAATGTATGTATATTTGGGCCTACACAGCAGCAAAAGTCTTTATTCAAATAAAGTTTTAAATAGAACAGCAATAAATACAATGGGTGAAAGCAGAACTGGTGAGGCTCCGAGGCTGCTCCCCTCTTCCCCTCTTTGGTGGCTTCTCGGGCTCCTCTGCCCGACTCTAAGAATAGAAAATTGCTGGTCCCGGTGGCCAGAGCCCTGAGTTCTTTGTCACCGTGGGGGTTTATTTCCAGTTGTGGGACCGGGGCTGTGGCTTCTCCAGTCCCGCAGCCTCACTCACTTGGAAAGAGACTCCTCGGGCTGTGTGTCTTATTTTCATGTCTCGGTGGAAGTAAGAAGGCAGTTCTGCACCCAATAGCTCTTCTTCCCATCTGGGAGGCGGAAGTGGGGGCTTCCTGCCGAAGGAACGAAGGAATGTGGGGAAGTGTTTCTCCAGTGGCAGTGCTGTTGACCACCAACATCCTGACGCTCTGACACCTGGTTGGAGTCAGTGAGCTTGTAGTAGGTGCAGTGTGGCTCTTGGGGCTGGCAGGGGGTGCTGGCAGCTCTGGCATGGGCTACAATACATACGCCATACTCCCTCCTGGCCCAGGGTAACAAAACTGTGGTCCTAGGGGTAACCCTGGCCTCTACAGGGGAGCTCCTGGTATCCCTGGGCAAGGAGAAAAGCCACTGAGTGGGTAAGCGGTGTGGCACCGGGAGACAGGCCCAGACTCAGAAACAGAAGTGCTGGATTCTAGTCTTTGTTTTATAATTAACTCGGGAAAGTCCACTTAGTACCCCAGGGGATCACTTCCCTATCTGTGAAAGAAGAGAGACAAGCTAATTCATACATTCTTTCTGGGCCTTAAAAATTCTGAATATTTATTACTTTATGATTTAAACAATGAACTCTGACTACATGGGCCAGACTGTGAGGTTCCTGACCTCACTTAGGCACAGCGAGACGGGCGGGCGGGCCTTCCCTGCCCCACAGATGGGAAAGGCCAAGCTCGGGGAGCCACGGTCACTAGCCCCAAGCACACCGCCAGGAGTCGGCCGCGCCTGCATTTTACCTGAGAGTGGCATGGGAGCCTGTGGTCCTATCCAGCCGTCCAACCTCCCCCGGAGCTACTCAGGCAGGAACACTTGCCATAGAGGAGGCATCAGTGGATAATTGAGAGTTTTTACCTTCTTCGGGGTACCCTAAGATGACCTCCCCATATTCGTCTAGTTTACAAGAGGAGCAAGAACAGGGCAATTGTTTCCTCCTAAGGCAAAGCCTGAGGATGTTGGCAGATTCCCAAGGTTTTGAGTAACCCCCATGAGTGGTGAGCATAATCTCTCTGCTTACCTCAAACAAGAGAAGAAAGCCCCCACAGAAATGTTTAGGCAAGAGACACTCCCATCCTCCTCTGCTCTGGGGGAGTGTGGTCTGTAGGAGCTGGGTGAGGAGGCAGGCGGAGAACGCCTGTGTAGTGCTGACCTCAGCTTCTCTTGGCTGAAGTCAACTCAGCCTTCCAAGCTGCCAGAGAGCAAGCACAGGCCCACCACACCCTCAGAGCTGACTGGACAGCACGTGCCAGTAGGGCAGGGAGCGAGTTCCAGTAAGATCCTGGCAGAGAGCCGGGCAGAGGCACTGGCACTCCATAAAAACGAAGCCGCAGCTGACCCCATTGCAGCTGGGAGACAGAGCAGTGCAGACACCGGTGTGGGCCTCACCTCGTTTCCCCAGATCTTCCTTGCCCGCCTCCAAGGCTCAGAGTGCAAAGGGTTAGAAAATGCCAAATCAGCCCTGGCCGGTGCGGCTCAGTGGACTGAGTGCCGGCCTGTGAACCGAGAGGTCACTGGTTATTGTCCCAGTCAGGGCACATGCCTGGGTGGCAGGCCAGGTTCCCAGTCGGTGGGCACACAAGAGGCAACCACACATTGATGTTTCTCTCCCTCTCTTTCTCCCTCCCTTCCTTTCTGTTTAAAATAAATAAATAAATAAAATCTTAAAACAAGAAGAAAATGCAAAATCTCGTCCTGAGAAAGGAACCGAAGCTCTATGTTTTTGAGGTATGATTAACATCTTATCATCACTGTTATTCTCTTTAAGTCAGTTTATTTTTTTCAGAGTACGTTTAGGTTCTCAGCAAAATGGAGTGGAAAGTACAGAGATTTTCCGTGCGCCCTCTGCCCCCGCACTCGCACAGCCTCCCCAGTGATCGACATCCTGCAGCAGAGCGGCACGCTGGGTGCAGTCAGTGAAGTCACACGGGCAAGTCACCACCCGAAGTCCAGAGCTCACCTTAAGCTTCGCTCTTGGGGTTGCACATCCCAAGGGTTTCGACAAACGTGCAAGGACACGTATCCACCATCACAGCACCACACACGGTTGTTTCGCTGCCCTGGGAGTCCTCGGTGCTCTGCCCGTGTATCCTCCTCGGGGCCCTGACCTCCGGCCACCGCTGACCTTTTCGCCGCCTTCCGAGTCTTGCCTTTCCAGAACGTCAGACAGCTGGGATCATAGAGTATGAAGCCTTTCAGATTGGCTTCTTTCACTTAACAATATACATTTAAACTTCCTCTATACCTTTTCATGGCTTAATAGCTCATTTCTTTTCAGTGCTGAATAATATTTCTTTGTCTGGGTGGACCAGTTTATGTTTCCATTCTTTTATTGGAAGGTCATTATGCATAAAGCTGTGATAAGCAATTTTTGCATAGATATATGCATATGTTTTTAGCTCATTTGGATAAATACCAAGGGATGCAGTTGCTGAGTCATACAGTCAAAGTATGTTTAGCTTTGTAAGAAACTTACAAACTGTCTTCCAAAGTGTCCACATCAGTTCTCATTCCCGCCAGCGATGAATGAGAGTTCCTGTCCCTCCACATATTTGCTGTTGTCAGTGTTCTGGATTTTGGTCATTCAAATAAGTGTGTAGTGGTTGTCTCATTATTTTAAATTTTGAATCACACGTGTAATTTGTATATGTAGTTTCACATTAGTTATTTGCCATACGATGATCTTCCCCCTGTAGGCCGTGAGTTCAGTGAGAGCAAAGGCGGCCTCTGTTTTTGCTTATTTTATCACTTAGATGTGGTAAGATGCTCTGGACATAGTCGACTTCTGGCGACTATTGGAATGAGTGAGTGAGTAGCCAGCCTCACCAGCTCTTCTGGATGTGAGCTTTAATGCAAGGGCCCAGGTCTACTGAGTGTGGTGGAGCAGAACCTGACCGACTTAGACCATTTCTGGGCCATCAGTTCACCTGAAGCTGCAAGAACTCAACAGTATCCTCAGCTGTGTTCAGGGGCATTTGGTCATCTGGCTTTGGTAGCTCTTGGTTTAGGTGGTTGCCTTTTTAAAAAATCCTCGCCCGAGGATACATTCACTGATTTTAGAGAGAGAGAGGAAGGGAGAGGTAGAGACAGAGAAACGGAGAAAGAATGAATCATCAATGTGAGAGAGAAAAACATTGATCAGTTGCCTCCTATAAAAACCCCCCACTGGGGACTGAACCCACAATCTAGTTATGTGCTCTGACTGGTTATCGAACCTGCAACCTTTTGGTGTATGGGACGATGCTCCAAACAACTGAGCCACCTGTTCAGGCAAGTAGGGCTCTTCCCTTTTGCTTTATCTGAGGAAACCTGGCCTCTTCCTTAAGCAGTTCTTCAGGGCTTCGTGAATGTCTCTGTTTCTCAGGCTGTAGATGATGGGATTGAACATGGGCGTTAGGATGGTGTAGAGCAGAGAGGACCCTTTGCGCAAGAGTTGGGGTGAATTGGCTGAGGGCACAAGGTAGGTGGCCATCAGTGTCCCATAAAACACCGTGACTGAGGTGAGGTGGGAGGAGCAGGTGGAGAAGGCCTTCTGCCGGCCTGTGCCAGATGGGATTCTTAGGACAGCAGCAAGAATGCAGGAGTAAGAAGCTGTGATGAGGAGAAATGGGACCAGAGTCACTGCAGAAGAGGTGGCATAAGCAATGGTCTCGGTCAGTGAGGTGTCCGTGCAGGAGAGACGAACGAGAGGAGTAAAGTCACAAAAGAAGTGATCGATTTCATTGGGTCCACAGAAGGGCAGTCGAGACAGCAGGGCCATCGTGATTGCTGTCAGGAGGAAGCAGCAGAACCAAGAGCTGGCCACCAGCCGAGCGCAGAGGGGGCCAGTCATGAGGATGGGATAGTGGAGAGGCTGACAGATGGCCAGGTAGCGGTCATAGGACATCACAGCAAGCAAGAGACACTCGGTGGCAGCCAGGGACCCAAAGAAATAGAATTGTGCCAGGCACCCAGCCACAGAGATGGTGTTCTGTTCAGCTATGATAATCAGCAACATCTTGGGGATGATGTTGGTGGTATACCAGATCTCCAGAAAGGACAAGTTCACCAGGAAGAAGTACATGGGGGTGTGGAGGTGGTAGTTGAACAAAACTAGCAGAATGATGAGGATGTTTCCAGAAACAATTAAGATGAAGAAAACTAAAAACATCATAAAGAGGAAAATATTTAGCTGCCGGATGGAAGAAAATCCTCTGAGCACAAACTCCACCACGGCTGTTTGATTTGCCCAGGGCGGGACCACCATGCCTGGGCTTCCTTCCTGAGGAGCATAACACCCAGCAACAAAGCAGGCAAAATGCAGGCAGTTCTAGCTTACCCCTAGAGCATGGCCTGACCGTCGACAGTATTCATGCCCCACTCAGGTGTTTGCGAGTTCCTTTTATCTGGGTGCAGATGTGGCATCTTTTTTTCAAGGTCTGAGATGGGAAACAAAAGAATTTGGACGAAGAACTTGTGACCGCTTCAACTTCCTCATCTTCTTCTCCCACCAGTTTTTGTCTTCACCAGGAACGATGCCAGCGGAAGTGGAAAAAACAGGAAGAGGAATATGAAGAGGAGAAAGGAGGGAGAAAAAAGGAAGAAGGAGAAGCACCAGCTCTATCCCTTCCTGAATGTACTGTGGTAGTCTGGGAGGCATGGGAGAAGAGGAAGGAAATCTAGAAGGAAAGTGGGCCCAGTCCGGAGGGTTTGTGAACTCTTAGGAGGAACCCCCCGCCCCACTCCACCACCGACTTTAGGCACTATTTACATTTAGGGAAATGGTCCCTGTCATATTTAGTATGTATTCAGTTTCTTAGTGACTTGAGAGGTAAGTTTATTACCTCTGTTTTGGTGTCCACCATCTTAGCAAGAGAAAATCATGTGAGTATGAAATTTGAGATTCTCCACCTCTTCGGTGACAGCCCGGGCTAGTGTCACCCAAGGGCAGGAGGGCTTTCTCTCACAATTTTAAATAGGTAAAATCAGACCATTTAAAAAGACTTTATCTAGAACGCTAGTAAATGGGAAAAGAAGATTCAGAATGAGGTGGCCTAAGGCATTGCATACAACGGACCAATCAAGCATAAGTGCCTCCGATTCTTTTCAGAAAGCTAAGGAAGGCCAAGTCTCTTTAGCTCCATCTTGGTTCGAGCCATTTTCACCTCCACTGAGCTCAGGGCAGATGGAGAAACTGCCCCCTAAAATACTGCTACTCAGAGTCAGAGGCTGAAACCACTGCTGTTCTGACCCGCTGTGTGCTGGACCTGCTCCTCCTTACCTGCGGAGGGACGGGATGGATGCAGGTAAGCTGGTGGGGATGGGACAGCCCCCATGCAGGCAAAGAAGGCACCATGGGGTGTGATGATGAGGCAGTTGTCAGGGGCAGCCGATAACCCCCTCAAAGCCAGGGGCTCTGCTTCATGAGTCAGACTCTGAACAAGTGTTTAACTTCTCTGAGGCAGAGTTTCTGGTCTGTGTCTTAGGATTCAGGGTGGGTGAAGAACTTCACATGTGCCTGGCCTGTGCAACAAGCCCACAGACACTAAACTGGAAAACCACTGCTATTCCTGCTGCCAACATCACTTAAGTTCTCTGAGGACTGATAGCCCTCGCTTTGAAGGGGGCACTGGCAACAAATCCCAGTGTCTTTTGCCGCATCCTGCGATGTTTGTGTGTGTGATTGTGTGGGTAATTCAGCTCTTCCTCCTTCCTCTCATTGTACTAATAGCCTTTGGCAATACATTGATCCCCTTTAAAAATTGATCTAGTGACCTGGGTACCATTCTGGGGAGCCCTAGTTTCACCTTTCCAAGTGGCTCAAGGAACTAGTCTGGAACCTGTGCTGACCGACCATGCCGGTGCCCTGAGGATGCCCAGGCCCTGAGCTCCCCGAGTGGGGAAGGCACAGAGAGAGGCCTCTTCACCCCCTGCAAGCACAGCTGAGGATCTGAGCTCTCAGAGGGAGGGCTTCGGTTCCCACTCCTGGCTGCTTCTGCTTCTTTGCTGCTGCTGGGGAAGCAGCAGAGGGCAGGACTCCCCAAGACCCTTCTTGAGGTCTTATGGATGGCCTAATCATAAAACTGGCACAAGACCAGATTGACTACCAGGGGAGAAAGCAATGGGATACATGTGCATGGGAGATCAAAAATGATGTGCTCTTCCAAAGTGACGAAGCAGCCAGCTTTTCCTATTTTTTAGACAAAGAAACAAGAACTGTGTGAAGAAATCACAGGACAAAGACCCGTAGGTTCCGGTGCTCATTACTGGGAATGTCCACAAAGTGCGCTTGTGCAGTGACTTAGTGAAGGAGTAACAGGGTTTATGTCTGCGAGCTTTTAGGCCCTGAGATGCTTTTTAAAAAGATTTTATTGTTATTTTATTACAGTTGTCCCAATTTTTCCCCCTTTGTCCTTTTCTGCCCAGCCCGCCTCCTGCTCCCACAGTCAGCCCCCACACCGCTGTCCATGGCCATGGGTCATTCATACACGTTCTTTGACTAGTCCTTTCCCCTTCTTCCAGCATTATCCCCCTTCCCCACCCTTCGGGTTGCTGTCAGTCTGTTCCATGTTTCTGTTAGGCTCGGGGCTCCCTAACTCTAGCCATAGGGGTCTGTCTCTTAAGCCCCCCACAGCGAGGAGGGCACCTGTCCCAGGGAGATCAGTTTCCTGGAGCGCATTGACAGAGGGTCACTGTGCCTTTCTTGTGCCGACTGCTAATCAAGTAATTTTGATTCAAAGTAATCACTATGCTGTTGTGGGATATTTGGGGGCTGCCTGTCCTGCTCCCCAACACTGCTCATGATGATATTACTTGATCCCAAGCACTATGCTAACTGCTGAAAAGGTATAACTCACTTAAGCATCACCACAGTGCTATGTCCTTTCTTTCCTGATGGAGTCACAGAGACGCTCATTCACTTACCTGTGCTCATCAGCTGGGAAGTGGCTGAGGCGAGATTCAGGCTCACCCTGGACCCATTGCTCCTAACCACTAATGCTGCTGCCCCACCCTGGGTACCTACCTCAGCTAGTTTGCATTATCTCACAGTGGTGGGAAGACAGCAGGAAGGTCCCACAGGGCAGCCTCTTGTCCAGGTTTTAACTTCAGGGCAAGGGAGGCTCGCTCCCCTGGTCAATGAGACAGCCACCCTGAAAGACTCCCCACCTCTGAGAGCCTTCTCTGCCTTCCTGCAGACTGGCTTTCCCACTGCTACTTCTGTGTCCTTTCTTTAGCATCTTAAAAAAAAAAACAGTTCAGCCTATTACCTTGAAGAAACCGAAGAGTTCCTTTTTGAGAGCGCGCACAGGGAGCGGCTGCTTCGGTCCAGCAGGCCCTTGCATTTCCACCAAGGGATGTGCAGAAATGCGGGACAGACAGAGTGGGAAGCAGGTGAAAGGCAGGCGGACCAGACAGGCAGAGACTCCGGCCTGGGAGCACAGCCTGGATTCAAGCCCCTGCTCTCCCACAGAGACGGGGGAGCAAAGGCATTCATTTCACCACCTGAAGGGAAGCGCTGCCCTGTGGCCTCCAGGTTGGTATGAGAGAGTCTTTCCCCAGCAGCAGGGAGGCTGAGGACCCTCCCCTGACGGCCCTGGCAAGCAGCCACTGCCCTTCCTCTGCCTTCTCAGTGGAAGGGAAGAATTGCAAACACACACACACACACACACACACACACACACACACACACACACACACAGTATGGAAAAAGCTAGAGGTGTGTGCTTTGCTTACCTGCTCCTGCGTTAACATTGCTCATCTAGGCTGCAGGAGTCTAGAGCCATAAGCCCAAACCAGGCAGATGTCTGCCAGTCACATGGGCACGGGCTGAGGGCTCAGTGGATGGCAGAGTTCTTTCTTCCCCTCTTTATTACTTTTTCTCTTCTGCTCCTGCCTTTCCTCCCAGTTACAGGTAGACAGGCTCTTAGGAAGGTATCTGTCCCCCTTCCCTGCACATGTCCAGCAGGAATAGCTTCTAAATACAATGAAAGGAGACGGAAGCACTGGATTGGGTCATATTTAACATCCCTTTTAAACTTGATTTTTGTCTAACTGGGAAACACTCCATTTCCCCAGGACACAAACATGGAGCGAGGACGCAGGAAAGCAAAGAGGTTTATCACAAAGCAAAGTGAAAACATAAATACTCAGTGAATAAGCACAGGTTGTGTTGCTTGCACTAACAACAACAAAAACAACAACAACAGCAACAACAAGCAAGGAAGGACATGAAGAGACCTAGGTGCTGTCTGAATGGATCCATTCTCTGGCTGAATTAAATGCCCAGTTCACCAATCGATGCAGCCAGCATTTGGCTTATGGGCAAGGACTGTTGACTCTTGCCAGCTGCTGGTTGAGTCAGGTGACCAGTTGATCAACCCAGTAGACACATCTCAGTAGTCAGGCTTTGTCACGAAACTAATAGTTGATTGTGTGTGCTAGGAAACGGCACCCCTGGCCTCGTCTAGCAAAGGGCAGACTTAAAACAGAAAAAGTGGAACAGAGCAGAACAAATGAGCTTCACCTGTCAGTGCCTCACAGAGGGTCATGCCTCCTTCAGAGAGCCAGGCTGCAGACACAACAGCACGACCATCTCTCCTGGATTCAGAGCACTGGGCTAGACCCTGCAATCCCGCTTTTATCCACAGATACACCACCCTGTGGACTCGCCCCAAACTAAGTTAGGGCAGTCTTAACCCATGAGCCTGGGAGGCCGGTTGTGTTTTGGTCCCAGTGTTCAACCTCCTTCCTCTTTGTAAACTTGTGTCCCTCTGTGGCCAAAGCCATAGCATCCCCTGACACGAGGACTTACGGGCATTTCCCAAATGGCTCTGGTGGTGAATTGCTGTTTATCTCACAAATTATATGAAACCAAGTTACCTCCACCTTAGAGGAAAGCTCTTTTTCCTCCTTGCTGTGTGTTAAGCTCCACTTTCATTGTGACTGTATTTATATGACCTTTGGAAAGAACTTTAATTTAGTGATTAAAAATGCTCTATTATATTATGTTCTAGGGTGGATTGAATAATATTTTGAAGGAAGTAGTCAATTTGTTCCTATCCACAGGAAGTGAAATCATCGTGTGTGTCCTCACAGTTGTAGGTCTGGGAAGGAGCTGGAGCAAATACCTGTGATAGTGAACATTGATTGTTAGAGCTGTTAGTTGGGATTCTAAAGAGCCTGTGAACTCCTGGATTGTGGTCACTGATTAAAAATAGCAACTGAGGCTTGTCCTGCTCTTGGAATTGTCAGTTTGTGAGGGACAAC